AAGTAGGACTGCAACCCTGGATTTCAAGAGAACTATTTTTTGATGTCTTCAGGGACGTAATTGGAGGAATCCGCTGGACCAGGGCCGTAGAGGGTAAGGGAGTCCAAGAGAATAGGCTAATATTCAAGTACCATTTCCTCCAAACTCAGGATTGGTGCATCCCTATGGGAAATTTTCCCCTGGGAAAGTTTAAACAGAAGAAAGCATACATGACATGGAAGAAGGGACAGACCACTTGGAGGGAATGTAGGAACACTGTCAGAGAATGCAGGGATGCAATGAGGAAAGCCTGGGCCGAGTTGCAAATAAACTTAGCAAGAGACATCAAGGATAACAAGAAGGGCTTCTTCAAATACATCAGTAGCAAAAGGAAGACTAAGGAAAAGGTGGGTGCCTTAGTGGCAGTGGATATAGAGAAGGCAGAGTTAACTATATTCCTTCTTTGCTTCAGTCTTCGCAGTTAAGACTAGCCCCTACACACTACCAATCCCAGAAACAAGAGAAAACAAAACAAAACAAACAAAAAAAAACAACAAAACAAACAAACAAACAAACAAACAAAAAAAAAAAACGGAGAGAGGAAGACTTTCAGAAATTAAATACTGATGTTCCACATTATACAAATAAACACATATACACATGCATACATATATAACTGTCACTATACAGAATGATAAATAATGTTATGTGTTATGTGTATAACTTAATATAAGCAGCATATAGAGTTATATAATCATTTGGGTTGGAAAAGACCTTCAAGATTATGAAGTCTAACCGTCAACATGACATATTGAGTCCTGTCTGACCTACTTCATCTCTTCGCTCTCTGATCTGGAAGTCTTTGCCTGTTTTGGATTTGAGAACTTGAGGGAACCCATACACCTGTGAAGATGGAAATAAGTTGCTGTCTGTGGTCACTCAAATTAAAAGTAAAATAAGATATTCTAAATGTTTACTTTCCCATGTGATGAGTACAATATAATAGAAATAAAACACATTTATTCTTCATATAGAGAAAATAAAGGAGATCCAACATCATTTACTGTTAATTGCCTAACTCTTGTTACAGTTAGTATAGAATACATGAATGGCTTTCAAAAGAAAGAAGCTTTACCCTAAGAAATACCTTATATGTCAAGAAGAGTATGCAGAGAAAGATAAATTAAATAAAAGAAAATTGAATTGAATGAAAACATTCTGCACCACATTTTACTTCATCAGAGAATTTTTGTAATACAAGTGTGTTCATTGCTTTGCAATTTTGTTCCTATGAACTTTTTAATTGTCACTTCAATAGATATTGCAGCATTGATCTAACTACTTTTAAAGTATTATACAAACAAAAAAACACACAATACTTTTTCTTTGAGGGAGCTCTCAGTCAGCTCTAAGAAACTATGTAATACTTCCAAATAACATCCATTAACATTTATATTCCTTTTATTTTTTAATTAATATTTATAACACATATCTTAAATCTCTTAGTGTAGGAGCAACAGAAGGTAAGCACAAAAATATGTATATATATGCATTTCTTAAGCAGTTTGACAGTATGAGTAATTTACCTAAGTGGTTTCAAATAATATAGAGAGTATTCCTCACAGATGTATTATGAAGTTCGCATGTAGCATCTTTTATCAAACCAAATTTTGCTTCTAATATTTCCTTTGAGAACGTCTTAGAGATCCATCTGCAATCTCACTGTTAAAGACAAAAATAAAGAAGTTATTTTAATCACCACACTATGGCTATTGCAAAGTTACTTACAGTTTTAAAATCATTAACCAAAATAAATAGAATGAATAAGATCTAAAAATCTAGTCATGTGATTGACTTACAAGTGAAAATGTCCAGCGATGGAATATTATAACTAGTTTTAGGGCCAGATTTCTTCAAAGTATTTTATAAATAACCTCAATACAGAACCTTAATGCATGCCAAGTTTGCAAATGATACTAAATGAGGAGGAGCTGTTGATTCCCTAAAGAGAAGAGAGGCCTTGCAGAAACATCTTGACTAATTAGAGGGCAATCTAACGAGATTAAATTGTGGTGATTGGGCAATCACCAATTGCATGAAATTAAACAAGAGCAAGTGCCAGATTCTGCACCTGGGATGGAGGCAATACTGGATATATGTACAGACAGGGAGATGAGAGGCTGGAGGGCAGCCCTGTAGAAAAGGCGGTGGAAAGTCAATGATTCTCTGGTAGACAGTGACGATAATATTTGTGAAGACTACTGTAGCTTGAAGAGCCATGATCAAAATCCACTTAAACATACTGGGGTAAAAGAGGAATGGATTTGGGCCTAATGCCTTACATACAATAAGTTGAATCCTTGGGTAGTTATATACAGGCTGAATTATATACAGGCCAAATTTCTTGACTAAACTGAAATCTAAATAAAATGTTGAGGGTCAGTTTGGAAAAAAAAATAAAAAATAATCTTGTGGAATTTTCATTCTGTAATTCATAGGCTTCTTGACTTATGAATCCTATTTTAATCCTGTATTTTGATATTTTCCTTAAAACAAGTTAATATTTTCTTTAAAACAAGTTGGATCTTAGGAAGAACTTCTTTACCAAAAAGGTTGCTAGACATTGGAATAGGCTGCCCAGGGAAGTGGTGGAGTCACCATCCCTGGAAGTCTTTAAAAGACGTTTAGATGTAGAGCTTAGGGTTTAGTGGGGACTGTTAGTGTTAGGTCAGAGGTTGGACTTGATGATCCTGAGGTCTCTTCCAACCTAGAAATTCTGTGATTCTGTGATAAAAATATGATTTTCTACTGCTATCTCAGCCAAAGAATGGATCATGATTACCTGGACCTGTGTGGCCTCATGCAGCTTGGCTTTCATTCAGCATTCATGTTTATTCTGTTCTGGTCTACAGTTTGGCTTAAGTTTGATGTATCATGTTAATTTGTTTTGTAAGAGTTGATCAATTAACTTGAGAAAACTCTGCGTAGTGTTGATTCAATCACATAACAAGCATAATCTAATACAAATCATGCATCAGACATTGATTTTCCCAACTGCTCAGTAGAATTAGTGTCACTAAAGGACGCAGCCGAGCTGAACTAACAATATTAAGCATTTCTGTAATTTATCTCTTGCTGTAACGAACAGTAAATGATATAATGACCAACAAGATTAATGATAAAATAAACATGCTTGTTAGATTCATTCCACAGAAGTCCAATCAAGACATTTCATTGTAATCAATAACTTGGGACATGTAATAACAAGAAAGCATATCAATATAAACCTGGACTCATTATCATAGAATCACAGAATACATTGATAACATTTGAAAAGATATTATGTATCTAGTAATTGTATTTTTAGTTGCATATATTCTGAGTGTTTCCATAATTACTGCTGTTAGTGTAAATGTCAATTAATGTTCTAAAAAAATATATTAAAAAAATAAAAAATAAAAATCCAGTGTATCTTTAATGCTTGCTTCATTAACAAGAACAGTTAAAAAATAATAATAATAATTTAAGCTTTCCTACATTTTTGCATCTATGCTATTAGAAAATAACAATACAAAAATATTTGAATTATTTCATATTTAAAGTAATAAAGCTATCAAACTCATGTAACTTTTCACTGGCATGATGAAATAGAAACTGAGGTGGCATAAAACAAAATGAATTAGGACAGCTGAAGGGATGAAAAGTTCAAAAGTACCCCCTTCTTTTTCTTCAACCAGATGTGGTTGAATGCTGAAAAATTTTGATTACTCCTAGATCTTAAAATTCAGTTTGTTACACCTATATCTCCCACATGCCTGGTGACAGGACAAGAAGGAATGGGCTAAAGTTGTGCCAGGGGAGGTTTAGGTTGAATATTAGGCAGAATGGAATAACGAAAGGGTTGTAAGGCATTGGAATAGGCTGCCCAAAATTCCTACCTTTACAACATATTTTGTTGCCTTCCTCAACATATTTTCTAGCACATTTTAAGAACAGAGCAGAGATTCACGGAATCAATAGTCTTATAGGCTGTACTGAGAATAACTTAAATACAACATCATTTTTATGCAGTTTAATTTCAGACAGCTACTGGGTGGTAATTATAATCCTGAATGTCACAGAATGAGTTAATGAATTATATTTTTGCATTTGTTTAAGAAATATTGAGTGATTCATGTACCCAAGCAAAGTTTATCTGCTCAAATTTTAGATATCAAAAACAATGAATTATTCTTAGACTGATTAAGATTTTATTTTTATTTATTTATTTTTAAATCTTAAAAAAAGTTGGACGGTAACTTTACTATATGTATTGAAAAATAATGACATGATGTTCTGTACACAAATTACAAAACATTGCCTTTTCTGAGTGTTTTTTTTTTTTTTTTAGGAAATCAAGTAATAAAAACTATTTTCTTTATCCTTGAGTTTGAAGCACCAACGTGCTGCTGTTTCCGGAGAGACCTTCAATTCTGAGAGTCATAAAGAAATAGTATCATATGTTTAATCAGATGTAGAGAAAAATCTGTTTCCCTCATGTCTGCCATATACTTCTCTAAATCATGTCAAGAAGAATGCAAAGGAAAACTTCTGTTCTTCAACAATGTTTTTAACTACGAATTTTCATGTCTGGGTTCTCTTTCTGACAATAATTTACAATTTTATCATAGCCCATAGTAAAAAGATGTTACATATATATTTATACAGGTAGTTTATTTATCTTAAAAAACAAAAACAAAACAAAACAAAAAGCTATGATAACTAAATGTTGTATTCTTTCTGCACTATATATATATATATAATATATATATATTATTTATTTATTTATTTATTTATTTTTCCAAAGATATGAAAGATACTAGTAGCCAAGTCTTGGCTTCAGATTCCACAGCTTGAGCAATCTAGAAAACAAATCTCTTGTATAAAATGTAAGCAAGCAACAGAAGAGCAGAGGAACTGTTGTTTGGAATCAGAGTAAGAATTATTTTTGAGAACAAATATCTAAATAAAAAATATCCAGGTTTTATCATTTCTTGGGTCATATCTTTAATAGCTTTACATTAAAATGGGTACAGCACTACTGGAGTAGTCCCAGTGAGGATCTGTCTGTATCACAAAGGTAAAATCTATCAAAAGTTCCTGCGTGTTTGCTTTTGAAATGCTTAGTAGTGATTCTACAAACATACACTAAGAGCGCTGGTAACTAATCTATCTTGACATTGCAAAAGAAATGTAATTGGGAAAAGATGTAGAAGCGAGGACATTTCTGACAGGTTATTTTCCTCTGCGCTTTAGGTCTTTTATAAATTTATACCTTCTGCTGCATAATTGTGCATCAGATTGATGTACTCCAAACTGGGGCAACATATCAGCAAATTGTGTCTGGCTGATCTGGTTGTCCGATGGAATGACTGTATCACTTAACAAGTGAAGACCAGCCATTAGTAACAGTCTTTACGTGGGCTTCTTTCAGACCTTTGACAGTCCCACACGATCTCTAAACTTGAGAGAGAGATGGATTTGAAGGGTGGATTATTCAGTGGATAAAGAATGGGCTGGGTGGCCTCAGCCAGAGACTTGCAGTCAGTGGTTATAGGTGGAGACTGATAATAAGTTGTGTCACTCCAGAGTCTGTCCTTGGGACTGTTAATGTTTAATGTCTTTATCAATAACAGACAACAGGAATGAGTGCACCCTCAGCAAGTTTGTAGATGACACCAAGGGGTCCAAAGGGACCTAGATAAGCTTGAGAAATGGGCCCACATGGATCTAATTAATGTTCAATAAGATCAAGTGCAAGACGATGCACCTGGGTCAGAGCAATCCCATACATTAATACAGACAGAGAGAAGAACTTATAGAGAGCAGCCTTGCAGAGAAGGTGGACAAAAAACTTGACATGAGCCAGTAGTGTGCACTTGCAGCCCAGAAGGACAACCTCATTCTGGGCTGCATCAGAAGAGGTGTGGTCAACAGGTCAAGGGAGGTGATTGTCCCCTCTACTCTGCCCTCATGTTGCCACTCTTGGCATACTATATCCAGGTCTGGGGGCCCCAGTATAAAAAAGATGTGGATCTGGTTGAATGCATACAGAGGAGGGCCATGAGGATGATTAAAGGACTAGATCATGTCTCTTATGAGGACAGGCTAAGAGAACTAGGGATATTCGGCCTGAAGAAGTCTCCAGAGAGATCTTATCGTGACCTTTCAGTACTTAAAGTGGCCTTATAAAAAAAAGACGGAAAGTGACTTTTTACATAGGCACATAGGACAAGAGGGAATGGTTTTAAACTAAAAGGGGGAAGATTTAGATTAGATGTTAGGAGGAAATTCTTCACTCAGAGGGTGGTGAATCACTGCAACAGGTTGCCTAGGGAAGTTGTGGATGTCCCATTCCTGGAAGTGTTCAAGATGAAGTTGGATGGAGCCCTGGGCAACCTCATCTAGTGGGTGGCACCCCTGCCAATGGTAGTGGGATTGGAATTAGGCGATCTTTGAGGCCTCTTCCAACTCAAGGAATTTGTTGATATTCTAGAATATCTATGGAAATTATAGCATTTAATGTTCTTTATAACATTTTCAAAGTATCAAAATCTATTTTTTTTTTTAATGTGATTCTGTGCACAATTAGTACTTCCTCTGATTTCTACTCCATTATAAAGTCTTAACCAAGCACTGTGGCTTTGTTGTTGGATCAGATGTTTGGTGTATACTGAAGTATTACTTTCCAGTTTGTGCTCTATGATTTCTACTTGCACTGAAACTGATTTTGACTTCCTAAGTTTTACACAGCAATGTATCATTGAATCAACAGGACTTCATCCACCTAAAAGGTAATTAGATAACAAATAAACATTTTTAATAGCACTTTTTGAGCTAACTTTTGCATTATTACATGCATCATTCTAAATATGCACCAATGATATGCAGTAAAATGTATATTTTTTCTCATTAATTCATGTTTTTAAGTGAAATGTAAAGCAACCATTCTCAATTATTTTTGACGTTATATATACTGTGTATTTTTTAGTCATTTGCCTAAACACATTAGACTTGATTAGTGTGTTTCAACCATACATTATCCTTAATTATCTGAAAAAAAAAAAACACACACATATTTATTTTCAGTTTGTGTGCTAAGAAAAAAAAGCAGATACAGAAGAAACATTCTTCTAATTTGAATGTGTTAATTTTCAGAATACTAGTTCTAATTTTTAAACTACTGATATAATATTTTGCTGAAGATGTGACAGTAGTTCTAGTTACTTACATTAAGTCATTTTCGAATGACAAGGTTTAATAATATTTCTTCTAGATCTGTTGAGAAAAGTTTAACTATAATGAATATCTTTGTGCATTGTTGATTGACCTCTGTTACATCAACATATGCTCCGTTTGTTCTTCATTTTCCTCCCTCAGAAACAGGACTTGTAATTAATATCTTTTGTTTTACCTTGGTTGTTAATGAAAAAGTATGGGTGTTTCCTTCACTATACTGAGTGCAAACTCATACAAAAAAAAGATATCATAAGTGAACTCCTTATGAACAATTCTAATTGCTTAGGAACAGTGTTTGAAAATCTCAAGTAATTTGCCATTATTATAATGAATACCATAAACTGTAATTTTTCATAGTAATTAACTTGTGTCAGCACCATTATTTTTCATTAATTATAAATGAAGAAGAATGAAAGATTGCCCATAGGAACAGATGTGTGAAATTGTCTCTAAGGTTCTGTTCTAGCTTTTTTTCTTTCCTCCAGCAAATTATATGGAGAACAGGATCCAGCCATGCAAGAATGCAGATCGTCAAAACTGTCCAGGAGAGGCTGGGGAAAAAAAAAAAAGGATGTTTAATAAGGTTGTTGTCTGTGAAGTCTAATGTTTTAATGAAAAATGTAATTACCAGAAAATGAGTCAAACAGCACAATTTAGGAATTTAGGAAAACCAATCTGACAGTAATATGAAATATTTCCTGGCTTCTTAAACACTCTTTATTTATTTATTTATTATATATATATATATATATATATATATATGTGTATGTAAATTTATATATATATTTTTTTAGTAAGCAGGTCAGTGGAAAAGATGAAGGAAAATAAATTTTAAGTGTTTTCTCTGTTATTTGCACATTTTCCACTCATCATAAAATACACAACAGGAAAAGTCAATTTTGATTCTTAATGAATCTGAATTAACATAAAGTTTTACAAAAGACTATAGAAACTTCACTCCTGTATAATTTCACTTAAACTACCTTCCCTTCTATATTACGAAACTATTATATGAACATCTAAACTATTATTTTGATATATCTTTTTTCTTTGTTCTTTCATTTTCTGATTGTGCCAGTGCTTAACTTAAATTTTGTAAATACCATACAAAATTTATCATTAAAAACAATACATACCAAAAATAACTGTAGACTACTGTAGAAGACACTGCTTAGAATGTTTTTAGTAGTAATTAACTGTCTATATTATTAAAGTGTTTCTTAATCTCTTGCAAATAAAACAATGAAGAAAATACTTTTATAAGAATAATTATAATATATTGCAGGTGGATATGTATTTTCTTAGAATTTTAAAACTTCTATTAAATATGAGATATTTTTTAGAGCATTGCTTCAAACATTTACTGCATATGTTTACCTAGAATCTACAACAGAAGGTTAAGTTACCATACAGTCTATTTTTAAAATGCTGTAATTAGTAATAAGAAATGTGTCAAGGCTGATAAATCATTGTATATATATCCCTATATATTTACATGTATAATGAATGTGGATATGTTCCTGAATATATATAGACAACATCTCTGTTGGAACACAGTAATGTTGTCTTAGATCACTATTTCTATTCACCATGAAAACAAAAGCATTTTGTTTTGCCAAATCTCTTGTCAGTAAAGGGAGGATAGAGTTTTCCTTAACTTTTGGTGGTAATCATTTGAATTTCATTCTAGGAGACAGTGAGTATACATTTTCATATGGCAAGACATGAAATACAGAGAAAAACAAAGTTATTCAGCAATAAGAACTACATGTGAAGTACAATTTTAGGATCAAAGTAAGGAAAAGAAATTGTTACATTCTGAAAATGAGCTGTCTTGCCTGCAACAAAATGGCTAAATCCTGAAATCTGGAAGGACTAGAAACAAATATATTTGCAAATATAATTAATTTAAATGTTTTCTTTCAATGACAGACCACTTGCAGAGAGGAATCAAAGCAAAATAGTTTGTTGATGGTTTTAATATAATACATGAGAGCAGGAGTAAAAATACTAAGAATGAACAGTTCTTGGTTGTTAGTGTTTTGATCATGTAATACTTTCCAGAACAGTAAGAAGTCTGCGATCACATTGAGAATACTGAATCATGTTCTAATATTTAACCTTTCATAAAGCAATAAAAAACTAAGAAACTAGAGAATTGTTGTATTGTATCTGCCACAAAGTTTCCCAGTGTTTTATAGTTGACCTACAATTTTCTTTACTACTCTCTATTCCAGTCAATCTCTTGTAAATAAACTATGTATTTTTATATTGATTTTTTTTCTTTATTATTCTATAGTTAACATTATTCAACACCAGAATGATGATGCAACAATAAAGAAACAGCTTTTCTGCATGCATCTTCATTATTATTTGAGATACTGTGTTTTGTTTGAAAACAAGAAACATTACTGTAAAATCATTTGTGGTTTGAATAATTTGCTACAAAGAAATCAGAAAAGTATAAGACATCTATTTCTATTATTGCTTAAGTCTCAATTGCATCTGAGAACATTATGTAACAAAGAAATCTTACATAAATAGTACTATGGGACAGTTAGACAAATAATCACTTAGATAATGAGTAAATATGTTGCAGTTATGACATTATCATATGCTAAATAAGAGTGTATCAAACAATTAAAAAGATTAAATTATCCCTACCAATACTACAAAGAAGGCATTTTTGAACATTTTATATCAACTTTAACATATTTTGACCTTATGGTTGTAGTTTTGTTAGTTTAAACGCAGATAATCATATGTAACTATTGTGGCTTATACTTGCTAAGAATGTGGGTTCTCAATAAATATATCCCCTTATTCATTAAAGAATTCCTTGAAAAAAATAAATTGATATTAGTGATACTTCCTGATTCACTGTCAAGTTTTAATTTTCCCAACTGACTGTGAGAAGGGTGGATCTAGCATCATCTATACAGTCGATGCATATAAAGTTCATATCATATGCATCTATACAGTCGATGCATATAAATTTCCCAGCAGCCTTAATCAAGGCATTTAATGAGGCTTTTTAATCCTCATATTGATTATATATAAATATTTCAATTCTCTCCTTGGACTTCATTTAATCAAAAGTCTCTTTTCAATACTTGCAATAAAAGAAAAAGCAGAATGGAAAAGAGACAAATTCAGTGAAGTTCTGGTGAGACATCCTGTTTTGAAGTATATATTTATTTATCCTTTTTTTTCCCCATGAAAATGGGGCCAAAACCATTCTAACATTTTCAAAGTAGACCCATATTGTTTATTACCAATGCTTTAACACCAATCCTTCTACTTCTATAAAGAAATGTAAATTATAACCACACGCATCTACTATGGTTGTTAGGTACACAAACATTATATACTGTATCTTGAGTTTTGAAAATTGCTATTGCATAATATTGCTCCTATTTACATAGTATTGTGGGCTAAATTTAATTCAGTGTTTCACAGTGCTGTAGAACATTTGAAAGCAGACAAAAGTATATCAACTATTAATTTTCACCTTGGTTTTGCTTTCTTTACTTGGACAAATAACTCACATTATTATTCTTAATTTGTAAAGTCCCAAAGGAGTTAGTACATTGTATTATCTGTAAAACAAATAATAATATATAAATAATAGTCTATCAAAAACAATCTGATCATCAAGTCTTTTTGAGCTGCAACATTCTAGTATCTTAGTTTTTAATAAAAATTATCTATCAGGGGACAGCTACTGCTTAAAATCTCTATGACCCTATATGTCTTTGTGGTCTTGATAGACCCATCTACAAGTAGAACTAATGCTAAACTAAACAGGTGAAAACAAATCCTAAACTTAAACAATTTTATTTCATTTGGAGCTAAGAAATTAGTGTAATAACTCTACCTGTATAAACAAACTTGGCATAGAGAAAGAAATAGACAATGAAAAAATTCTGTTTGAAATTTTCAAAAATAATAATAAGAAGAAAAAAGGCAGGAATAACTATGACAAATGACATGGGAATAAGTTTATCCCACCTATTTGTGTAAACAAAATCACCTTACCACCAAAATGCTGGTAAATTAATCTCCATATTCTCAGGTCACTGACTGATGGGCCACTGGAGAGGCCACAAACATTGTCATAAAGAGGAAGCTCAGACAAAGCTTCATACCTGCAAAGAAGGAAGAAATGGTTATCATGGGTCCCATGGGACACTTACAATGGGGCACTTCATAGAATCATAGAATCAATCAAAGAATCAAGGTATAATAGAATGGCTCAGGTTTGAAGGGACCTTAAAGATCATTTAATTCCACCCTCTCCTGGGCCTTGCTGGGATAGAATTAACTTTCCCTGCAGCAACATATACAGCACTGTGCTCTGCACTTTGATCTAGAACAGCATTAGTATCACACCAGTGTTGTGTCTACTGTTGAGCAATATCCGCACAGCATTACATGTGAGCTGGGGGTGAGTAAGAGATGAGTAAGGAACAGGGCAGCTGACCTAAGCCAATCAAAGGGATATTCCATATCATATGATGTAACACTCAGCAATAAAAGGTGGAAAAAATGAAGGGGCGGGGGGTGGGGAGGGACTCTCCCTGTGAAAACAGCTGTCCTCCCCAGAAATGGCTATGTGCTCACACAGCATGGCCCTTATTCAAGGATGTGGTGAAGCATCACTTGTAAGTGGGAAGTAGAGAGTAATGTCTTTCTTCTGTGCTTCCACATGGTCTTTTTTCTTCCTCTTCCTCTTCCTCTTCCTCTTCCTCTTCCTCTTCCTCTTCCTCTTCCTCTTCCTCTTCCTCTTCCTCTTCCTCTTCTCTTTTATACTTTCCTTTTTGACTTTAGTTAAATTATTTAATTAATTATAATTTTCCCTTAATAATTATTTTTCCTTTAATTAAATTATCCTTATCTCAACCTGTGAGTTGTTTCCTTTCCCCTTCCCTTCCCTTCCCTTCCCTTCCCTTCCCTTCCCTTCCCTTCCCTTCCCTTCCTTCCCTTCCCTTCCCTTCCCTTCCCTTCCCTTCCCTTCCCTTCCCTTCCCTTCCCTTCCCTTCCCTTCCCTTCCCTTCCCTTCCCTTCCCTTCCCTTCCCTTCCCTTCCCTTCCCTTCCCTTCCCTTCCCTTCCCTTCCTTCCCTTCCCTTCCCTTCCCTTCCCTTCCCTTCCCTTCCCTTCCCTTCCCTTCCCTTCCCTTCCCTTCCCTTCCCTTCCCTTCCCTTCCCTTCCCTTCCCTTCCCTTCCCTTCCCTTCCCTTCCCTTCCCTTCCCTTCCCTTCCCTTCCCTTCTCCCTCTCCCTCTCCCTCTCCCTCTCCCTCTCCCTCTCCCTCTCCCTCTCCCTCTCCCTCTCCCTCTCCCTCTCCCTCTCCCTCTCTCTCTCTCCTCTTCTGAGAAGGGGGAGTGAGAGAGAGAGCAGTTGTGGTGGAGTTCAGTTGCAAGGTAAAACCACCATGCACACACCCTGCTGTAGACAGGGATGCCACCCACTAGATCAGGTCAGACAAGGCCCCATCTAGCCTGGCCTTCCAGGAGTGGGGCATCCTCAACTTGTCTTGGTAGCCTGTTCCAGTGCCTTACTACCCTTACAATGAATAATTTCCTACTTATGTCCAATTTAAATCTATTCTAGTTTAAGACCATTCTCCCTTGTCCTATCATTATCTACCTTAGTAAAGAGTCCCTCTATGTCCTTTTTATAAGAGCTCTTTAGGTACTGGAGAGCTGCAATGAGGTCTTCCTGGAACCTTCTCTTCTCCAGGTTGAACAACCCCAACTCCTTCTCCCAATTTGGAGAGCAGGATGTTGTGTGGAACTGTGTCAAAAGCCTTACAGAAGCCCAAGTAGATGACATTGGTCAGTCTGCCTTTGTGGACTGATGCAGCCACTCCATTGTAGAAGGCCACCTGACTGGTCAAACAATATTTGCCCTTGGTGAAGCCATGATGTGTCTCTCAGATCACCTTGACTTTCATGTGCCTTAACACTGTCTTTGGCAGGATCCTTTCTGTTGTCTGGCCAGGCACAGAGTTGAGGCTCGCCGATCTGTAGTTCCTTGGGTCCTTCTTTCTACCCTTTCAAAAAATGGGAGTGAAATTTCACTTTTTCCAGTCACTGGGGACTATGATTGACTGCCAGGACTTTTCAAATATGATGGAGAGAGGTTTGGTAACTCTATCAGCCAGTTGCCTCGGGACCCTTGGATATATGTCATTAGGTTCCATAGACTTGTAATTGTTAAATTGCATCAGGAGATCCTGAACTTTCTCTTCGCTTACAGTGGGAGGGGGCTGAGAGAAATGGGAAGCCTTAACATCAGTGAAGACCAAGGCAAAGTTAAGTATCTCTTCCTTCTCCACATCTGTTATCAGTTCTCTGTCTTCATTTGTCAGAGCCAATATACTCTCCTCAGTCTTTCTTTTGTGGCCAATGTACTTGTAGAACCCATTCTTCTTAATCTTTGCATCCTTTAGTTCTGTCAGTGACTTGGTTTTTCTGATCCAATCCCTGTGCAATCTGGACAGTGTTTCTGTGCAAATATAACTCTGTACATTTGAAGGAGGCTATGGGACAAAACTCATTAAAATATGAGCTCATTACAGTATGAGCTCATTACAATACGAGCAAAACATATTACAGTATGTTTTAAGGGGACTGTGGAAACATGTAAAACTTATTACAGGGTGTTTAAGGGAAAATCCCAAACTGGGAAAATAAAAAGGATTGAAGTGGACTGGGGACAAAAATGAGAAGGAAGGGGGCTGGCTGTGAGCAGACATCCTGCTGGTCAGTCTGCTTTCTGTACAAGACATTTACTAGGTTACTGTAGTCTACTCTACCTTCTTATTAAACCCTCCTTGCTGGTTTTGGAGTGAGCTTACTGTCTATTCTGTATGTCTATGGGTGTGACTGACTAGTGAACTTCAGTCTATGCCAGTCAGCAAGGAGGAGGGATGCTGCACCTGGAAATAGCCAATGTCTGAACTGGTGACTGGGCAAGGGGTAACTCAGCAGAGTAATCACACAGACTTAAAGTTGTTATGGAGGGATCAGTGAATGTTTATTCATGTGTGAATAAAGAGAAGGAAAGTTTTAGTAGGAAACACCATCCAGAAAGAAGAAATAGGACTGGACCAAACTGTCTGAGTTTAGTTTTCTCTGAATACTTGTGAAATTCTGTACTCTCTTCTGGTCTGTGCATGGTCATGAATGTGGTTATACCTCTGGGACAACTTGCACACCAGAGTAGCAGGAAGTATGGAAGTACATTGGGAGGATAACTCTCCTCTGTCCTAGTGTTTGTCAGAGTTGTCTACTCTTAAACACTAATGTTTCTAATCTGTGGATGTCAACTTCTTCCCCAAAAGAAACTGATGTGTAAAGAGTTTTAGATTTAGTACAAAAGATCTTCCCTACCTTTATGGGGTAATCTGCCGTAGATATTTCTAAACAGAAGAAAAAGTAGTAAAAAAAAAAAAAAAAAATGTAGAAGAGTATGGAAAGATTACTTCAAGATACCACAAGTAAAGTCACGATTAATTGAATTTCCATTAGCAATAATTGTTTCTGAGATCAATTAAACACATTTTAATTCATTCTAACACTCCATCTTCTTAAACACTCTTGAAATTATTGAGTTCTGTTGACTTTAAATTCTACCTTAATTGTTGCTGCTTGAAAATTGCTCCAAGTTCTGATGTAGTAGCAAATATGTGGTTATCAAAGTTTCTGAATACCTAACCCTGTCTTTCCAAATGAAGAACAAAAAAAATTTTTTGTTATCCCATCTTTCATTGCATTTTGATTAATAATTTTACTGTACTCTAGTTATGTTGCAGCAATATACCTTTTTTTGGCTTGAGTGTGATATAATTCCTTTTGATTCTAATTGGTTGTAGTGTTGTCTTCAATAGTTCTATGTTTTCATTTTGTTTGCCTTGATTTCCAAATTAACTGTTTGTTTACTGCTGTTATACATAACTGTTTGTTTTTACTAATGTCATTTACTCTTAGCTGAATGTTCCCAAGTAGCTGTAAACCCAGATTTTTTTTATTTATTTTTTTCCCACATCATTGTTTAATTACATTTTAGAACAGATCTCATAATTTCTTGTTAAAATGAAGACATGAATCATAGTCATTAATTGATTTCAATTATGTTTCTCCTAAGTTATCATGTTGGACTACATCAATTTTGTCTGTACAAATAATATAATAACCTGCCATCTGTAAAAATTAGTAAGCAATTAAAAATGTGGTGGAATAGAAACTGGTAAGAGAGACCTTCTTCAAATTATTTTAATGACAGTTAATATAATAAAACTCAGTTAGAAAAATAGTATAAAAGATATCATTATATTACATGCATTCAATACTTAGATGACTGTTCCAATCCTTTTCTTAGCTAGTTGTCAGTTTTACCATCAAAATTGTCATTCTACTCTCTGTTGAATGTTCTCTTCATGATTAGAGATATCAAAATCTGGGTTCAGCTCTTTACCACATTGCTAAACTACACGCAATTTATTTAGCAGTTACTGTGTCATTAGTGTATCTTAATTTGAGCTATTGAGTTTCACATGTAAGATTTATAATTACAAGATCAATTTGCTAGCTGATTTCACCAGTAGGAATTTTGATTGTGGAAGATTAATACAGTATATTTAAATGACCATGGTAAAGAGGAGGTCCACCTCCATTTTAAAGAAGCACACCTCTTCACATCTTACATCACACTATTTACATTTACACAGAAACATTTATATGGCACTAGGGACAGAAGAAACCCACTGGTCAAAACCAGGAACCAGGAATACTGATTCAGAGGATGTATTTCAGTATGTGTGCACACATTTATGTCAGCACCTGTATACAATTTTCATTAAATAAATTTCTTCCTAAGACTTGTTTATGTATGTATTTATTTATTTATTTTCCAGAAGAATAGATCTCCGTGCCAGCAACATATGGAAATGACAATGAAAACAAAGTCACATTTAACAAAATACCTCAAGAAGTTCACCTTTGTGTGGAGAACTTTTGTGCTTTTATAGAGACCTACAGGAATGTTTAAATATATATATATATTTTTATAGACTCTGCAGCCTTCACAAGCTCCTCTATTCTGGAAATGCATTTTAATGAACTAGTCCTCAAAACAAATAATGGGCTTTGGAGAGAACACTAATCATTCTGTGCATTTTGGCTGTACCTATGACCGATTAAGTCCTTGTAAGAGCAGCTCTGTCTCTATTAGGAAAAAATAAATAAATAAAAAGGAACATCAAATCCAAGTAGCAAGTGCAGGTTCATTATCTAGTTTTGTGCCTTTCCCTTCCAGGGTAGGGAACCAATTTATTTTTACCAAAGTTAAACTTTGAAGTTTGATACTTACATGAACTAAGCAATTGATAGAAGCAATTAGAGGAAAAG